TTTTTTTTTTTTTTTTTATCTTATCGCAGCGGTCAACAGTATTGTTATTGTTGCTGCTTCTGCTATTAACGTAATCGCGTATTGGTGTAATTGCCCTTTTGTAACGCTGTCTAATTGTTATTTGTACAATCAATACCGTTTCTATTGAGATTATTGTATTATATTTTTAACGTGTAAAGTATAAATATTATACTACGTTTTTTTTTAATTACTATTATCCAATAACATAACCTAAACAAAAACAATGGACAGTAATGCAAAAAGCGAAGAGACAATTTCATTAGAAGTGGACACAGTTTCACCCCCAACAGTAACTAGTGTTCCCGAAAATAATGAAAATGCTCAAAATAATGTGTCATCCGTGGAAAGCATACCCATACCTTTGGATGTCAGCCATGAACCTGTGGTAGACGAGAAGGTTGAAGTTGCAGTTTCAGTTGCTGAAGTTGTAAATGATATTAGTGATAATTGTAACTCTGCGCCTGTTGAAGATGACAAGTTAAACAAAGCCATGGCATCTACTACTTTAGCTGATGTTAAACAAAATCCTAGTGAAGCAATTTCTGATGAGCAGGTATCAGATTTAATTGAAAAAGAAAATACCAAGGAAAATACTTTTGTTGATAATATGAGTATAAAACCAGTTGTATCTGAAGAAAAAACATCGGAGCCCAATGAAACATCTGATGTTGAATTTAAAGATGCACTAGAATCTATCGATAATGAAGATGATGAAGTTGAAAGAGAACAGCAATGTGATATAAACAAACAAGAATGTTTACCTGATGGAGAGAGTAGTGGTGAAGATGAAATAGTCGATGAAGAAGAATTAGGTGATGACGGAGACGCTGAGGTAATAAATTATAATATTTTTAATGTTGAATACATTCTTTTATATTAAATACATATCTTAACTGTTTTATTTTAATGTATAGGTATTTTACAGTTAATATTAAATAAATTAGAATAAACTTTCCATCCATTTAATCAATCAATTCAAATGTATTCTAAAAACTGATTACTTTTATATTATGTTCTCCATTTTGTAAAGTTATTTTTAAAAATGTTTGTTTGATTACCCTGATACTTTATAGCAGTGTTTCTCATCCTTTTTTCATTCATATAACCCTTGACTTCATGCCATTGCTTTATGTACCTCCTCTCGATTTGTCAATTTTCACTTATGATTGATATAAATTATAAAATTAATTTTAATGGATAATTTATAATTATGAAGTATTATTATTACTTTTTTATTAGTATCCATATAACATATATAAAAAATTAATGTACATTTTACAATTTAATTTTAATGTGATCCTAGGGGGTGTTTGATATCATTACATTTTTTAAATTTGGTTTTCCACAGATGGTAAACTCACAAAAAGCTTATAACAATACTTATTTTTGATGAATGTGTACGAAAAAAAGTCTTTTCCACAAATACAGTGCTCGTTATTAAATATTTCATAAATAATTTATTAATTCTAATATATATATATATATATATCGATTTTTACATTTTCCACCATCATTCATTTTTTTCCCGAGTACCCTCTATTTTATTTTCACAAATGACATATTACATATACTCTCAGTTGAGAAAGCTGCTCTAAAGAATTTTCTTAAATTTTTAAGAATAATATGAAATTGTTATACTTACATTAATAATATTTACTAATTAATAATTATAATAATTGTCAAAAATAAAAATATATTCTTGTTGAGCTATAGATCTTCAAATAACATATATTAATATTTCATTAATTAAAATAAATTGAATAAATCATAATATTATGGTTAAACTACGAACTCTCTTGAAGTTTTACAAATTTTATTTTTAAGTTTAGTGTAGTAAATAATTTTATAATTTATAATAATTATTATACCTAAATTAAAAAAATGCTTTCATTTGTTTTATTACTGTTAACTAAATGTTTTATTTTTATTTTAATTTATTTTTGACCATTTTTTTTTAATTTTAGCCTGACACGTCTGCACCTGAAATACCAGTTCCTGTTGACAATGATACTAATGATCCACAATACATACCTAGACGTGGACGATTTTATGAGCATGATGATCGTATGGCTTATAGTACAACAAGTTCTGAAGGATCAGAATCAGAAGATGGGCATGAAAAAGAATCAGGAGACGAAAATGAAGGTTCTGTGTAAGTATTAACTTAAAAAAATTGTTGAATTGAATATGTAATATTAATTTGTTTCTTTGTTTACTATAAGTAGTCATCAACGTAACAAAAAAGAACGTACTGATAGTCAAAATCAAAAGTCAACCACTAAATCTGTTAATATTGCCGAAAACAATGCAACAGTAGTTATAGATAGTACACCATCTACTAAGAAAGTCTTAGCTATATCAAAGGCTGCATCTGTATTAAAAGACTCTTCAGATAATGCAACTGCTAGTGATGGATCTGCAAAGAAACCTAGTGGAGGTTTTAGAAAATCTCGTAACATCGACTCATTAGATAAATGGTCACATGATATGTATGATGAACGTGAGCAGACTCCCAAAAGTCGAGATGAGTTATTGGTCTCATATGGGTATGATATACGAGAAGAATCTGAAGCACCTCGAGCCCGACGCCATCATAAATATGGGTAAGTTATTAACTAAAATGTATAATAAATATTCTTTTAATAATAATTATTTATTTGTTTTTATTTTAGGCGATCTGCTACAGCCAAATATACTCGTAACTGGCAAGACACAAAAGCATACATAGGCACTGGTGGGCCACAGTCATCTAAAGTGAAACGAGGAGGTGTAGCACAACGCCTTGTTGGTGGTCCTTACAAGAACAAAAATAAGTCTTCAACTTCTAATGAGTACACATCTGAATTTCCTACTTTAGATGGTAAAAAGACTATTGAGTCTTCTACTACTACTGTTGCGGTTACTGAGCCATCAGTTGTGACAAAAGATTTAAATCAGCATCATAATCAACAGCCAAAATCTCTTTCTCAAGAAAAAAAGACTGTTATGTCGGTCTCAAAAACTAATCCTACTCGTAATCACTTTACTCGTACTCCCATTAAAAATGTCACTTCTGGAAATCACAGTAATCACCAAGACCAGAAAAATGGAGGACCATCTCAATCATCATTCCACAATAAAAACCATTTTAATCGATCTTCATCAAATTCTCCTGCTAACAAAGAAAAAATCACTTCACAAGTCAATCGCGACAATTCTTCAACTGCAGTCAATCCTAATTTATTTATCCGTAAACCTCAACAAAATCAACCAAATAATTTCAAGCAGCAACACTTTAATAGTCAAGGCCATAACCAGCATCATTCGTCTTCTGCTCCTCGAGGCCGTAACTTCCATCAACACAATAATACTAATCAGCAATACAATCATGATAGATATTTTGCTAAGGGATCAGGACCTCCTTTATCGTCCAATTCAAACTATGATCAACAACATAATTCTGTAGGACCTACTTCTGCAGGCACAGGACGTACACGTCATAGTGGTGGAAATTATAATCAGTACAATAATCGTCAATGTAAGTATTTCAAAATTATGTATATGTATGTATAATATATATTGTAGAGCAGTGGTTACCTTTTGTAGATCACGGACCTTTGATGAAAGATTTTTAGAAATCGTGAACCCCCTTACAAATTTTTTTATTACAAAATATCCCGTTATTAAAAACAAAATTATAATAATTATTTTATATAATAAATTACATTAGTAGACATAACAAAACAAACATATTTATAATTTTTTTTTTAATATTCTTAAAATGTAATTTATTAACTTAATGCAATGGTTGGTGTTATACTTGTGACACAAGTTTTTGAACATCATATAAAAATAAGACCTGTCTTATTTACGAGTATATGATAAAAAGTATATGAAAAAAAAAAATTTATAATAATCTAACAATATTGTAATAATGCACTCTGTCTCGCATTGATGTATGTTATATTAAAAGTGCTGTGGACCCCCGACATGAGCATCGCAGACCCCTAGCGGCCCGCAGATCACAGGTTAAGAACCGCTGTAGTAGAGTATATGGATACAATATTTAAAATATTGAATATGTTTAGGATATTCACCCTAATTTTAATTAAAAAAAATACGCAATTATAATATAACATAAATGTATATTTAATTTTCAGATGATAATGAAAATGATCAAAATGAACAACTATCACAACCAGTGGTTCGCAGTTCTAAGCGGTATTCGGTACAAAGTCGTAGAGAACTGCCTGATCCAGTATTGAACTTTAATGCTATGTCTAAGACATCTCAATCTCAACAATCTTCAGTTTCTCAGCATCAGCAACAACAAAATGGATTGGTTATGCAAGACCAACAGCAGACAATACAACAATTACAGTCTCAGCAGCAACCACCCATTCAAATTCACCAACAACAACCACCAACTATGCAAATTCAACAATTTCATCAACCTATACAACAAATACATCCACATCATGGTATGGTACTTGATCACAACACTGGTATGATGGTTATGGCTACTGCTGATCCATCAATGTACCATCAACTATATGCTGCACCTCAGTATGCTACTGCAGTTACACCAGGTCCTGCTGCTGTTACGGATGATCAAAATGCAGCTGCAGTAGCTGCAGCAGCTCTTCAGATGCTCGCAGCCCAAGCAGCTGTTTATCAGCCTGTACCAACTGGTGCTACTGGTGTAACACCGCCAACAACTGGTACACAATCTATGCAACAACAACAACAACCAGTAAGTGTAGATGTTATTCTTAATAAATTAAATATTTTTAATATGTTTTTAAAAATTATAAAAGTAATAAATTATCTTATTTAACAGATTTTTATTTTATTTTAGGAAACATTCATGACTACTTACTACCAACCTCAGCAACAGCCACAACAACAACCTCCTCCAAGACGTGTCAATTTAGCTATACCAATTGTAGCACCACCTCCTGAACAAGGTGCTTCGAAAACACCACCTCCTACAGCAGCATAGATGAATGAATTTAATTGATTCATATAACTAACTAATTATACAATAACTATTTACAATTTAATATTGATACTGTATTCTGTTTATTTTATTCATAATATTTTTTTGATGTTTTCGATTTTAATATTATAATTATAATTGAAAATTATTTTATTAATGATGCTTTATGACAAGGATTTTAACTTGATTAAATACTATTAGCATGAATGGTTATTAATGTGTCCATAGTACATTTCAATATTATTATTTTTTATTTTTTTCCTTTGTATTTGTTTTAATAATTTACTATTTGCATGCATTATTATTGCAGTACATTACGATATATAATTTTTAATTTTTAACTGTTCTTATTTTGTGTTTGTTTTCTATTGTAGTATCAATAACAACAATGAATTAAAATATGATAAATTACTGAAGTTAAGATTGTGTTTTTTATTTGATATAATTTACATTTAATGAAATACTTAAATAATACTGAAAGAATGCCAGCCATTGAAAATTGCTGTTTAATGTTTGAATAATTGTATTAATTATTTGAAATATATACCAAAAATGATGTCTTATTATTGAGTATTTCATTTTTACTTTCAAAATACAAATACTGTAATTATAGTAATGCTAATATAATATGAAACTCAAAAGTGATTATAATGTATTTCACGTTTTATTCAACAATTATAAATTAAAGATAAATATTATATCGGGATTTAAAAGATTTTTGTTACCAATAATTTTATAAATATAGATAACAAACTAATTAGAATATTATGGTTAGTAAGTTACTAATAGCAAACTTTCATTCATTTATCTATAGGTTGTAAGGTTTCTGTCACTGAAATGTTCACTGAAATGTTAAAGCACTATAAAAGTTGGAAATATCTAAACAATAACTAGATACTCTTGTATAGTTATATTGTTGTATAGTCATTTAGAAGAGAGTTAAGTAACATGAATACTTTCAATGTTAGCATTTGGAGATATTTCCTTTATTATTATTAGGCGCGGATTTTTATGTAATTACATAATTTTATTGAATGTGAATTTTTTATTTCCGATTAAAAATAAGCACGTTTCGTAACACCCTGAAATAATATGAGACCTTTTTTATTTTACATATCTTGTAAATATTTCACATTTTCATACCATTTCAATACGGTTTTTTTAAATTTACAATTATTATATTGGAATTAAATTAAAAAAAGATATTTCAAATCTTGATCCAGATACTACAATCGCTATAACTTCTGATATTATGTAATTTAGTATATATGTATATATATAAAATAATATAGTATATACTAAATAATAATTTAGTATATATTTCCACAATTTTTTATTTCTTAGTTAAAATAATAAAACAATTAGAAACATTAAATCTAACAATAGTTGAGTCTTATGATAGTGGAATATGCAGAAATTCAATGAAATGAAGTTCAAGGAGAATCCGGAATCATAATAAAAATAAATTAAACTCCGCATTCGATAATACGTTGGTTTACAAAAAAACATTAAAACTAGGCACTAGAGATAATCTTATTGATAAAAATGAAAATATATCAAATTATATAGAAGTAACACCATTTAACATATGTGGTATGAAATATGTCCCATTAACCTCAGTTGACATTGAATGCAACATCAGCATGTTGACTTTGAAATCTAACCGCCATACAATAAAATTTGAAAATCTTTAAATGAACGTTGTATCCAATTGTTTTGAAGAAAACAATTATGAAGATGATTAAATGAATAATTATTAATTAATAATTAAAAATTAATGTAAAATACAGTTTTTTTTTAAATATTCCACGTTTTTTAATACATATTTTAGCAAAAATAAGAACACAAATATTAACATATTTTGATTTTTTTTATTACATAAAAATTCGCGTCTTAATTATTATATACTTTTACTATCTCTTAAATAGTTCATGTTAATATTTATTTACCATTTAGAGAAATAATGTCAATACCAATTTGTGTAATTACTTTTTAAGTGTCAATTATTTTTTAGTAAACATTTAATGATCTTTACATACATAAAATATTTACAATAGTTACAAATTACAATTATATATAAATATAATAGATTATTTACAGTTTCAAAAAATGGATATTAACAATTATGAATTACTTATTTATTTTAACATTTAAATACATTCAAAATGAAAATAAATCATTCAATTAAATTGCAATATAACAATAAGTAAAAATGTAATAAACAAAATATAAATTAAAAATATTTAAAAAAATATAAATTTATAAATAATATAATACATTTAATAAAAATATTACATAAATATTGAGTTGGTTTATTAAAGCTACATGTTTACAGCCAATCAGATGTATAAATGTCCATCTTTGTATAAGTGATACACAACCCAGGTAATTAAATGTCTTATCATCTATTGAATGTTGGCCTTTAAATAAAATTGTGTGTAGCATGTATAAGTATAAAATATAGCCAATTTAAATAAAATGTGATAAGTAAACAATTTGTCATGTTGATGTTACTACTTCAAGGGCAGCTCTTCCAAATATAGTAGGAAATTAAATAATATTTTGGAATATATTTAATTCAAATAGTTTCAAATTTTTATTGGGCACATTATAAATAAATTTTAAACAAAGCACCTTGTTAAATAATATCATAATAATTAATATGATTTTTCTTTTGCATTTCCACCAACTGAATTTTAACTTTAAATGGCTTTTTAGTATTGGCAGTTCTAGAAAATAAAACAAATTATATTTTTAGTTTATACATCAAATAATAGTATTGTAATAATTTTAAATTAGTTTTTAACAACAACACCAATCACATTAAATATATATAAATTATATATGACACATATTATTAGTTATAGTATAAGTTATAATTAGTCAAAAGTTCTAGAGTCAAAATGAATAACTAATGAAAAACAAATGTTTTAGACCAATTTTAAACTATTTTAAAATTATTTAAAATGCAATAGACTATATTACAAGTAAATGAACCTAAAAAAATATTATTTATTGTATGTTCTAATAACTTACTAAAGAATGATTATTATGGCTTGCAATAGACCTTGAATGATTTCAGCAGTTAACTACAAAATGTATATTTAAATTAAAATGACTACAACCACAACTATCAACTTATGTGTAAGTAATGAATAGTTTAATTATTTTTTATTGCCGATGTAGTAAATTTTACAGTTGAACAGGCTTGAGTTGAGAATATGCAATTTTCCAATTTTGTAACTGAACTGAAATTTTTATTCTGTAAATTATAATGTGAGTTATAATTGTTATAAATTTATAACATTTTAAGTATAAAATTGAATATAATGTATAAACAATAAAAATAGAATAGAAGTGTAAAGTACTCATCACCAAGTAACCAGTTAATTTAATCTAATTGTATTAAGTGAATAGCATAGAAATTAACAATCAGAAAGTTGTAAGTAAGGTGTTGATAGGTTTAGATTAGAGATAAACTAAAAATATTGTAATGTTATTGTTAAGAAAATGTCTTGAGGAATCATTTAAATCATTTATAGTGAATAGTTAAATTATTATTTATTTTACCGTTATTTATACATGAATTACAGCAATACAACAAATTGTTTGATAAAGTCCTAGTTATATTGTAGTGACATCAACTAATGTAGATGGTGATTAATCCAATAATTTTCTCTACCTCCATTGAAAATGTTGCGTACTACAACTGAATTTCTTTCCAATGTACTTAAATTATTAATGGTGGGTGGTATCACATAAGATTGTGTATTATTAGACAATATGATTTGCTGTTGACGGACAGAAATGGCATCTGATACTGTTGATCTTATGATATTGTTAGTTGCTAAAATATTGCTATCAAATTGTTCACTAAAAACAGAAATAATGATTTAATGTGAAATGTATATTAATTATAAATAATAAGTAAACTAATAAACAATATACAATAAAACGCATTTGATAGTAAAAATACCACTTGGCCTCAACTTCTGGTGATGATGATACATTATTATTAGAAGCATTGGCTTGATTCAAAAGTGCTTGTTTTTCTTCTTCGAGTTCATCACGCTTATCTCGTAATTCAGATAAACGACCATTGATCTGTGCTAATGACAGTTTATTTTCCTGAATTTTTTGTTGTTCTAAATATTTAACTTTTCTTAAAACTTCAGCATTAGCTTCAGCTATAAGGGAATAAGATAAAAATAAATAGTGTAAGCAAAAATTAAAATAATAATATAGATATATTTTTTGAGATTATTATTTAATCAATTTTAAAATAGGTATTATCCATTGCATTATTTGATTATTATTTAAAATTAAAATTAATTTGCAACAATTAATGGATATATTTTAATGATAAAAATTTAAAGCAATTATTTTTATAAATACTGTAAATACTAATGGTTTGAAGAAAATATATTAATGACTTGATTTGGTAAAAAGAATATGATTAATAATCAAAATAACTTGTAGCTTTTAAAAAATATTCACTTGAAAATATAATTAGTTACATTTAATTCTTGATTCAACCAAAATTTAAATACAAATACTTAATTAACCAATATGTTGTTTACAACTTGAATTGGTAAAAATGATTACAGTTAAGTGTTAGGACATATTTTCAAATACATTTACCTTGTTTACACTTTTCTCGACGGGTTAAAATATGTTTCCGTAATGATTTCCACATTCTTTTGTTTTGAATTCTATTAGCATGTCTAATAGACAAATTATTCGTACCTTCTTCAATAAATCTGAATGCGTCAGAAAACGTCATGTTTGATCAAATTATTCCAGCAAAATTGAAAGATAGACAGTCCGGTACTGTTGAATCAACAGTGTTTTACGTATTTATCTAGATAAATAGTAGGACAAAATTTGTTGGAATGATGAACAGGCAGTGTAAATCATTAGAGCGATGATTGGTAAATGTGAAGCGAAACAAGTGAGTTCAAATGCGTAGTGTGATAGAAGTCCGAATCATTTGTTTACCAGACCGTAAGAAACGCAATCGATACGGATTGTAAGAATAAAAGAAAACGAAATGAACCGGCAACCAATTAGAATATTACGCGACAAGCGAACGGCGACAAACATCAATCCGTTTGGAAAATACTATAAAATTGTACACAACATTTTTGAGTTATGTATTGTGAAGATATGAACGAATACTGGTCGACGCTAACGGCTAACGCGATTATGTTAGAAACGCCTTATCAATCGTGGTCGAGAAAATAACGAAAATATTTGCTATCAGCGACCGTGAATCGTGACAAAAGGCATAATGTAATAAATGAAATATTTGTATTACGTCTGAGATCGTAACCATATAAAGAAATATGGAATGGCATATTTAATTATGACATATTTCGATGTAGAAACTATACACTCGTTGTGCTACGCTTATGATTTTGAGACCAAACCGAGCTCCTGTATAATATGCGATAAGTATTCAATAGGCCTAACCGAATCTTACCAATTGTAATATAGTCGTTCAACATTAGAATAATAGGTGTATGGACAGATGTAATATTAGTAAGTACGTGTTGAACGAATACGAACATTTTTTAGTGTTCGAAATGACAACAAACCAGTGTTAAATAATAATATAGTAATCTTTTATCAAAGTTTTGTCTTGGATCGCCCACGATGATCCAATATTTTCAAGAGAGTTTTTTTTAATAATTTGAATATTTGTACTGCAGAAAACAAATTTTGTATATCTTTATAGATATGCATAACATAAATCAAAGTAAAAAAGTATTTAATTTATGAAGTGTAGTTAATTTAGCAGTTTAAGCGAAATACCAGTTTTATATATTCAACAAACAAACTTTATTAGATGTATGACAACAAATTGTCCCCTATTATTGTTGGTTACCCTAAGTTGTAAAATTTTTATTTTTGTAAGTAATTTGATTACTCGCTGTAATCAAATTACTTTCAAAAATAAATATAAGCAAAAAATGTAATAGGTATATTTTACAAATTAAGATGTTGGTATATTATGTTATTTTTTTGTTACGTTAAAAATATTTATGACTCAAGGTTTCTGTCAAATCAAATAAAAATGTTAAAACTTTTGTATTTTGTAATGATACTCGAACATTATTTGATTACCAACATCTTTGATTATCTTTTATTTGTATCCCAATTATTGCATATTGACTGTAACTGACAATATTTCCTAATTTTAATTTTTTTTTTCATTGCAACTATTTTATTAATTTTTTTAATTATTAAATGCAAATTGTAATGAACTTTGCAAATAAAGTGATTCAATTTTTTTTAAAAAAACTACTATTTTTTTCCAACTGCTATGTGGAAAGTATTTTTGACAATGTTATTTGTCATTGTCTGTATAAAAAAAAATTTTATTTAAAACAAATAAAATAAATATAGGTCTAGAACTTCATAGGACTGATTTTTAATGTGTAGCTAATAAATGGGTATATAACATTTTAAATACCTAAATATTCATTTTTTTATTCAAATTTATATTATTTATATTATTCGCTATACATTTTTATTCTTAAATATTTATTTTTAATACTAAAAATTATTAGTATTGAATAAATATACATATTAATTATTTTAGAATTAATAGTCAAGACTAATTACCATTAGTTTTCTTCTAAACAAAGTTTTTAAATACTGTAAAATGAAGCAACATTGATAAAATTAAAATTTAAGTGTTAATTAATTGTTAATTTTTTAGTTTTTTGTATTGAAATCATTGAAAAATTAATCTTTATAATAACTAGGGCTAGGGACTTCATGCCCTTATAAACCTTAAAATATGTATACATTTATGCCCTAAATAATCAATAAATATGCTATTAAAATATGCATTTATAAAAAATTAATTAGTAATAAATTATAATAATATTTTTATATATGATAGATATGATGATCTAAGATAATTTTTTCTTTTTTTCAAATTTGTTTTTATCTTATATTGAGTTTTTATCTAAAACAAAATATTTAAAATGGTTTTAAAAATAAATTAAATTGAAAACATTTTTTTTATTTTTAATATAGTTATAATTCTTCTAACCTTGAGCATTACATTGGACTATAAGATATTTTCTTAAGTTGGAAAATTTAAATGACTGCCTGTTATCAGCCAAAATATTTTTATATTTAGAAAAGGAACGTTACACGTCTACGGAACTTATTGGTGCAAACTTAAAAAATCGTAGGTCACTACTACTAATATCTGCAGACAATCCATCTATAGATTCATTTTTCCATTTAAAATATTCGATATTTTTTGTAGTTAGCCTTAGCTTGTGCAGATTCTTCAATTTTTGCAGAATGTATACGTTTTTTGTAGTTTTAATTATTTTATTGCATTCAGTTAGTTCACCAATAAGACACTTAGAGTTCCAAGTCGCGTGATATATGAAGAAATAAATCATAATTTTTTTTAATAAAATTTAAAAACTTACTTCTCCATATGAATAATTGTCAAATTTGCATTTATAAAATGAAAAATGGTCAAATATGCACTTATAAATGAAAAATGGTCTTACATGCAAAATATGCAACTATAAATTTTAAATATTAACTTGTATTGCAATGAAACAAATTTATATATTACTTAGCTATGTTTTGTATAATTATTTAAAATCATGCAAGTTCCTAGAAGTCCCGAGCCCTAATAATAACTGTTTACCGAATATTGTTCTTCATAAGTATTCAAACATTTTTTATAATTTTTTTTTAATTACCTCAGAATTTTAACTTAAAATAATTATCAAAGTTATACTACAAATGGGGTAACTTTGATATACCCATTTTTATAATGTATATTTTTATATATATTTTTATAAATGAATGGTTAGGAACATAAATGTATCAATGTTTCTCCATTTCAAAATTCATCTACAAGTTTTTGAGTTCTTAATATTTCTTTTTAATGAATTAAATTTGACACATGGTGTAATTTTGATAAATAAAGATAATAATATATAAATTAAATCAATACATGCCTAAATAATTAATACAAACTTTTTATTTATTCAACTTTAACAATATATAATTAATTAAAAGCAAATGTTTATCTATTAATGTAACATTAAGGAGCCTTGATTTAGGGTTTCAGTTTTTATATTTGTACATTAAATTATTTATTATATATATAAAAAAAAAAAATAACAATAAAATAAAATAAAAATAAATTAAAAAATTTAAATGTTTAACAATTTATATACCCCTCACATTTTGGAGGCTTGACTTAGACATTCAGTTTTCATGTATTTACATCAAATTATTGAAAATATTATATGCTGTTATCACTTCATATAAAAAAAATTAACATTATTAATATTGGTAATTAACAGAACAAAAACTTATAAATTAATAATTACCGACTTAGGTTGAATTTGGATATTTAAAACATTTAAAAAACTTAGAGATAAAAAAGGAAAGTAATAAAGTTTTGAATAAATTAACTTTCATATACATCTATACTGAAACTAAACTTATATCATTAAATTTTGCAGTAAAAATATCATTGTCAACTGTTATAAATACTTGATGTAGAGTGTCCATGGATTTCATATTTTATAGCTCATATGGCATTTCTTCAGCATCTAATTCTATTACCTTTCTTACATATCTATATGAATATGTAATCCTATTTTAAATAACCATTCATAGTATAAAATATAAATTGAAATATTTTAATTCTTGATTTAAGTATTTGTTTTTAGTATTTATTTAAGTAATTGTATCTAAGTATTTGTTTAAAGTGTTTATTTAAATAATTGTATCGAAGTATTTTAAATACAATTTTTGGTTTTTGAATATTTCTATTTTAAAAAAACCTTTCAATAATTGCACAAATTAAAACAGTAAATAAAATTAATTTCCAATATATTTTAGAATACTACATTTTTTTATGTTATCATTAGGATATTTATTATTTTTATATTTTTATAATTCAAATTAATTTCTGACACTGATTTTAAAGTTATATTTCATAACTTTTGTAAATTCTTACTGCTTATAATTTGTAATTTATTAGCTTATTCCACTTTTTGCATATCGGACTACCAAATAAAATAAAATCTTTTATTAATTGTTAGTTATACTTTTGTATTTTAAGCGAAGTATGATGCTACTCACAGTAGCAAGTGAAATCCAAAGGTTTGCTCATGATCACAAGGTGAGGTTGGATCATTATGTGAATCTAATTGCCATTACAGTTTGTATGGTATACAGACTTTTTAAGCATTATAGATAATACAACTTAATTTAAGAATTTAGAAATGTAACTTCATCAACATGTAATGTATAGATTAATATCCAGTATATAAAGTATTTTAAAATTTTTACTTATTTCTATTCAAATTGTTACACTGAAAAAAAAAAATTAGCTTGTAATTTTTGTTTTTAAAATTATCTAGGTATCTATTACCTTTAAATTCTGACTAATATTTAATGTTCATCTTTAATATTAATAATAGTATTTAAATATATATTTTATATAATGTAGGTCTGTTATTATGGTGGCCGCTTAATATACAATCAATAAAAATGATACTCATTAAACTTATATTCAATATGTGGTTTTTAAAGTTCACAAATGCTAATGACTATTTACTTATATAGAAAAATTATCAAGTACAAGACATTAAAAATTACCCTTTAATAACATTTTTGCGGTAAAGTATAGATAGGGACTTACTTATATTTATCTTAACTATTCCAAGTAAATAATCTTATTAATTATATTTTATATACCAGCTCTATTTATTATACCTACTATAAAACACTTTATTTGAAAGAATTTTAATGACATAAATGTACATACACATATCAATATATATAACATTATTTGATTTTAAGAAACTGAAATTTATTTTAAATTACTTTATTCTATTATGTATTATAAAATCATAATACAGTTATTTAAATTATTTTTATTTTTTATTTTATTAATTTTCATACACTTATCAATATATTGAGTTTATTTTAATGAATTCTATAAAACAATTTTCATTAGATATATTATATGATATGGTGTTTTGTAATTATAATATAATAAAACACAAACAGTTATATTATACAATTATATTATGTATTAAGAATAAGAGCATATTTATTTACTGTGTTATTACAAGTAGGTACCTATTTGCATAGCATTTTGAATTGCATAACAATGTTATTACATTGTTACATTATTAGGTTATTAAC